TGCCAAAGGAGGCATGCCGTCTGCCGGCCAGCTGCGAGTTTGACATGCTAGCCCTCGGCCATGCTGAGCTAGATGAAGAAATGTGGCACAAAAATGAAAACCGGGGAGGAAGGTGTTTCCTTGGCTAGAGAAGGAGCCGTACTTAGGGTGGAGGGTGGTAAAGAGCCCCCAGGGACTCAGCCCAGCAGCTGCGAAGCCTCCAGCGCATTTCCCTGGCTGGACCCTCAGATGGCAGGACATCAGTGTTTCCCCCCAAAGCAGGAGCCAGTGGCTGAGCCAGACCAGCTGGCCAGGCCCCTGAGGACTGGAAAGTGGGGGCTTGGGATGCCACCATCTGGCCCCTCAACCAGAAGGACAGTTGGGCAGGAGGTGCTGAGAGAGGACTCGGTCACATGGCCTAGACCTGGGAGGTGGGGTGTGCTGCAGCGGCTGAGGTGGGGACATGGGGAGGACACAGTGATAAGAGAGATCGAGGGAGAGAAGCCGAGATGGGAGAGACAGAAACAGAGAGAAGCAGTCACAGAAGAACTGGGGGAGCAAGACAGAGAGAGGGAGAGGGAGAGAGGGGAAGAAGGAGAGTGGGAGAGAGGGAGACAGGGAGCTGGAGAGAGGGAGAGAGGGAGCTGGAGAGAGGGAGGGAGAGATGGAAGAGAGGGAACCGAGCCCAGAGAAAGGCCGAGGGGAGACGGATCATTCACACATCCACCCCCTCCAGCGGGAGCCAGTACCTCCCCAGCCCAGCCTGGCCCTGTAGCCTGAGCGGTGGAGCAGCCAGGATATGTGTCCAGCTGGGCCACCCTCTCCCTCCTGCACAAGCCCAGTATTTGTGCTCTCCAGAGGCCCCAGGGGACAACGGGCTTTGGGAGGCCCCTCCCCTACCCAGCGGCAACTCCTGAGGCCCAGCTGGGCTCCATCTGGGGACCTTGGCCCCTGAGCCACTCCTGCCTCGAGCTCAGGCTCCCTCTGCTGGGGAAAAAGGCCAGGCGTCCTCTGCGGGCGCCAGCGCCCAAGGCTCTGTGACCTGGAGCGCCTCCACCCCCCCACCTTTGTCTCCGGCTCGCCCTTAAACAATGGGGACCCCACTTCACGGTCTCCAGAGCTTGGTGGGGCTAACCGCACCCCATGGGTAGGGAAGAGCTGGCTAGGAGGCCCCAAATCCTTCCTCTGAAAACTGAATGGTCAAAAAGAGAGACAAGGATGCCCACGCTCACCAGTTCCCCCCCAAAATGCAAATGCAAACACCACAGTGAGATGTTTCCCGTCCTTGAGAATGGGAAAAATCTAAGAGGTCTGACACCAGGCATGGGTGAGCTGGAAGGAAGCAGGAACTCCTGGTTAGCACCACTTGAGCAGGCAGTTTGGAAAGATTAAGTGAACTGAAGATGGTTCTAACTTTGGGCACTATATTAATGCTTCATATTATCACCTCCCCAAATACATTTACAAAAAGCTGTACAGACAGGGGAAATGCCCGCATGGAATAAAACAGAAACAAATGAAACAACTCCTTCACATAATAATATAACCACTGAGAAGATGAAGAAATAACGAACCCCAATAACTTTTGAACACGGTATAGTGATAGCTCCTCTGGTTGAAGACAATTAAAATGTAAAAGCCAGTAAACAAATATTGAATCCTAGATTTGTTGGGTCAGCAATCCTGAAACCACTGTCTGCATGGTGTCTCGTAATCTTCATAATGTCCACAGAAGGTCAGTACTGCTATCATGCCCATTTTACTGAAGAACACACTGAGGCACAAGGAGAAGTAATTCCCAGGGTAAGTCACAGAGCGAGGGCTCCTCACCAGGCGGCCGAGCTCCAGCATCCATGGCCTCGACCGTGATGCTGTGCTGCCTCCACAGTTCTGCTGTCAAGGAGTGGCTCAGCAGTGGGGTCCGCCCATGGCACAGAGGAGGCACTTGAGGCTCAGAGCAAGAGGCAAAGCCACTGGCCTAACATCACACAGCTGGTAAGTGGCCTAAACCCAGATCTGCCTGAGTCCTGAGCTTGTGCCCTTACCCACCGCAGTAAGCGGCCTGGGAAGAGTTAGTCACCATGGTGAGGCCACTCATCCCCCCAGGAATAGTTGCTGCTGGGCTGGCTGTCTTCATTTGCCACTCCCGACCCACCAGCAAGCTTCTCCACCCTGCTCTGTGCCCCGGGAGGCTGACCTGTACGCACCCTACCCTCTGGCTTCCAGGTGGGGTGGGGCCCAGTGCAAAATTAAAATGCAAGGCCCCTAGTTCAAATACCATTCAGAACTTTAAGACAGCGACAGCAAGCATTTAACCAGGTGTGGGGCCCTGTGGGAGTGCATGCACCCATGAAGGAGGCCCTGGTTGGGCTATGGGGCACAAGCAGGAGATGGATGGAGAGAGCAGAGAGAAGCCGGGATATCATTTTCCGGCTCCTCCCTGCAGCAGTGCCAAGGGCTGGCTGCCATTCCTGGCCAAGGGCCCCAGCTCCCGCTTGGCTCTCCCCTCCCTTTCCTCCCCTGCCCTCTTCAGGGAGGGAAAGTCTCCAGCTTGAACCCCACCCTGCTCACCCTCTCTGTGGCCTCCCCATTCCCTGCCCACACCTTTGTCAAGACCCCTGTCAGGACCCTCCTCAAATTGACCTCAGTGGAGCACGCTTCTGTTCCAGGTTGGGAACCTGACAGTCACAGACCCCATTTCTTGGGAGTTCACCACATCCCAGGTGCCATTTCAGTGCACAACCTCACCTGCTCTGGGAGGCCCTGATGTAGTCTGCCTGAACGTGATGACAGAGGCTCAGAGAGGGATGGAACATGTGCCCTGGCTGGGATTTGAACCCAAGTCTGTCTGCCTCCCTCCCTCCCCACACTTTTCTCACTCGGGCCCTGGCTGCTGGTACTGCCAGCTCCCTCCACTGTCTGACCATCTAGCCACCACTTGTCTCTGCCGATATTCTGGGCGATCCCTCAGAGCAGACTTGGGGCTGAGTCATCCCCATGTGTCCACTGCCTGTCCAGCCCATGGAGTCCAGCTCAGGCAATGATCAATTTTTCAGGGGCCAGTGAGAGGGTCACCTTCCCTGCTGTGGTCTGGGAGTATCAAGGGAGGAGGGTGGACGAGAACTAAGCACGGCCCTGAATGGCCATGGACAGCCCCTCCCTGATAGGGCTGCTGGGGAGGAAGGGGTATCCGTGCCTGGCATGGAAGTACATCAGAGGTTCTCAAAGTGTGCTCTGGGGACTCCTGAGGACCCCAAGATCCTTTTAAGAGGTCTGCAAGGTAACAACTCTTTTAATTAAAATACTAAGGTGTAATTTGCCTTCATCATTCTCTCCCAAGTGTAGAACCAGGTTTTGCAGGCCCATGCGGCCCGGGCCCCTAGAGCAGAATGAATGCAGCACAGGTGACAATCCAGTGCTTCTATTAAGCAGGACACAAAAGAGAGTTGCAGCACTGAAAGCAATGCCAGTCTTCTGACTACATTTTCTTTTGTTTTGAAAATATAGTTATTCTCTTTTTTAAAAAAAATATTTTTTATTGATTTCAGAGGAGAGGGAGAGATAGAAACATCAATGATGAGAGAAAATTATTGATTGGCTGCCTCCTGCATGCCCCCTACTGGGGATTGAGCCCGCAACCCAGCTATCTGCCCTAGACCAGAATCGAACCTGGGACCCTTCAGTCTGCAGGCTGATGCTCTATCCACTGAGCCAAACCAGCTAGGGCTAGTTATTCTTCTTAAAAGACTTTTGGGTTAATGCTTTTGGGTTTATCATTGCTATTTTTAAATAAATCAATAATTTAAGTATATCTGTTTTAATTTTTAATGTAGTAAATATCAAATAGGTATGATCCATACAAACAAAAGCTCTTTGGGGATCTCAATGACTTATGGGAAGTAGCGGTGTCCTGGAGACCAAGGTATTTGAGACCCACTCGTGCATATAAATCAATGACACCACTAGCATCGTATTCAGATGTTGTCTCTTTGCTCCTTTGCCTGTCTCCCCCACCAGATTGTGAGCCCCATGAGGGCAGTGATTTTGTCAGTTTTGTCTGCTGCTATATTCCAGCACCTAGAAAAGCATCTGGATACAGTAGGTGCTCAATAAAGATTTGCTGCATAGATAAATAATTATATACTAATTGGCATCCTTATGCTTTTATTTTGAGTCAACTTTTCTGCCAGACCCTATGCCAAGCACTTCATAAGCATAACCATGCAGAAGGTGGATCCTAAGGAGTGTGAAGGCTATAGAGACCTGGGTTTAATCCAGCCTCTGCCACTTGCTACCCTGGGCCAGTAAGTTCACTTCCAAAAGCCTCGGTTTCTCTTCAGTCATGGCCAGGCATAGTTCCTGGCATGCAAAGGCAGGAGCTGGCACACCTTGGAGATGAGATGCAACACCTACAGTTGCACCTCCTGCCACTTACGTCACGTGGTCAGATACTGAGCGTCCACCAGCTGTGCCTGTTCTCTAAGAGCCCCCATTTGGTAGGGAAGACCCTGGCCAGCTGTGTCCTTGGGCCTGGTGCTCTACCTTCTGTGCTTGTTTCCCCATTGGTAAAATGGGGGATATGCTAATACCAATCTCTTAGGGCTGGTGGGAGGTGTCAGCGAGAGCTCGGCTGGGAGACTGGGAGAGGAAGCACTACACAGATGTCATTATTACTCTGTGCACAGCCAGTCCCCTCCCTCTGGGCCTTGGTTTCTCGATCCAGGAAGCGGGTGTCAGGGTCTTGTGAAACCCTCGGTGTACCAGTTATTCATCCACTGCTTCTTGGCTCTGAATCCTTTCTCTCCCCTTTGTCCTCCACGCCCTAGGGGTTCTAGCTGCTTCCAACACTCACTACCAGCTGGACTGCCCCAGTATTCCCTTTCTGTTTCCAGTTCTTCTAACACATTTGAAAGAAGTCCCTGTCTTAAATCCCCTCTGTTTGAAATACCTCGAGCGAAGTCTAACCCGGCTCAGGCCCCACTGTGGCACAGAAAGCCCCCACCGGGTCAGCCAGGCCATACCTGCAGCTTCTTCAGCTGGCTGTTGACGGTGGCCAGGTCCCCCCCAGGGTCCACGTCTTGCAGCTGGCTTTCCATGTGAAGGAGCTTCTTGTCCAGCTCAGCAAAGCTCTGCACCAGCTGGTCAGCCTTGCTGGCCTCAAAGAGCTGCCGAGCCTTGGCCTGGGTGGTGCTCTCCAGCTCGGCCCAGCACTGCCGGATCTCGCCCAGCTTCTTCCGCACGGAGGCTGCCAGCTCTGGCTTCTCCTGCATCAGTTGCTGGCCCTCCTGCCCCAGACAGTGGGAGTCAGGAAGTAAGGGGGAGGGGTGGATGGTGGGAAGGGACAGGAAAATATGGGGGCAACAGGACGGGATGCAGGGAGAGATGTGGAGAGAGCGGGAAGGAGTTGGAGACACACAGAGACAGACATGAGGGATGGATGTAGAGATAGGTGAAGGGATTAAAGAAACCAAGTTGTGGGAAGAGAGACAAGGAGAAAGACAGACAGGCAGATAGACAGAAGCATGGGGAGGGAGACAGAGAGGCACAGAGACATGGGAGCAGACAGACAGTCATAAAGTGGTAGCCACAGAGACATTCCCATAAGTTCAGAAACATGGGTAGAGGGCCATAAAAAAGATGAGAGAGAGAGAGAGAACTTCCATTAAACTCAAAGTCAAGAAGAGTGGCTTTGCCATGTGCCACCATTTAGGGGGCACCTATGGCCACTTAAGAGTTTAAGGCCCACCTGAGTGTCTCCGTTTGAGTCAGAAGAGTGGGGATATCCAGGGCTGCAGGTCTAGGGGTTCAGCCAGAGTAGGGGGCAGTTTTGGGGGTTGAGACTTGGAGCAAAAATCTGCCTGGGTCCCACCAAGACTGAAGTCAAACTCCAATATATGTTGTCCTAGAGCCATGGTTGGCAAAATGCGGCTCCCAAGCCACATGCGGCTCTTTGGCCCCTTGAGTGTGGCTCTTCCTAAGCCTTAGGAGTACCCTAATTAAGTTAATAACAATGTACCTACCTATATAGTTTAAGTTTAAAAAATTTGGCTCTCAAAAGAAATTTCAATCGTTGTACTGTTGATATTTGGCTCTGTTGACGAGTTTGCAGACCACGGCCTAGAGCATATTAAAAATAACAATACCAGAGCAATTACAGCTCCTGGGTGCCTGGCTGTGTTAAGCACTTTCTGTGCACAAGAGCCCAGAGAAGTAGCGATATTCATTATTTTCTTAATTTTAAAGCAGAGCCAACTGAGGCTCAAAGAGATTGACACAATTCCCCAACACACAGCTGGTAACAGGCACACACAGACACAGTTAGAACCCAGGGTTGTAGGAATGCAAAGTCCACTTTAACCCTAGCTCCTTAGGGCTGCCCGAGCCTGTCTACTTGATGCTCTATCCTAGATGCTCCAAAAGGTGTGGAAGGAAGCCTGCTGGGGGAGGCTGCAGGAAAGGGGAAACACAGGGGAGGGCAAAAGTAGGTTTATAGCTGTGAGTATGCGGTTTTTCTTCTTGTATTATTATTTCTTTATTCATTATTTTATTATTTATTTGTATTATTTGTCTTGTTATTGTTATTATTTTGTATCAATTATGATTTATCTTCTAGGTAAATAAAGCTATTGTAGCAACCATAACCTGCATGTCTTTTTCCCTAGGAACAAATGTAAACCTACTTTTGCCCTCCCTAATATTTAAAAGCTAGGAGGGTATGGGCACCATTCAGAAGAGAAGCTGCCATTTTACAAATGGGCAATCAAGGCTCAAAGCGGTTACATGAATTGCTCAAGGCCACATAGCTGGAAGCAAACATGGCAATGAGCTGAACCAGTTCACAGGTGTGACAGCAGCAGGCTGGTGGTGAGAAGTGGGCTCCCTGGAGGCCGTTGGCGCCTGGCACAGGAAGAGGGACCTTCTGCATCCTCACCCTCTCGATCTTCTCCAGCCACTCCTTATTCTGAGCCAGCTCGGCCATGAATGCCTGGTGCCGGAGCCATCTCTTATGCAGCTTGTGACCATCTTCCCGTGTGCCATCGCGAGCCATCAGCATCTTCTCAAGGATCCAGCCATCCAGCTGTGGACAGGAGGAGGGGCTCAGTTGGTTCTCCCAACCTGGCATAATTCTCATCCCCTCCAGAAGTCCCAAGTTGAGGGCCAGGACCGCTAGGTTTGGGGCAGGGGAGGAAGGGATGGAAAATTTTTGCAAGTGAAGCTTCTATATGTATGTGTGTGGCGGGGGTGGGAGGGAGCGGGGATGAAAGGGTCCCCAGAATGCCCCATTCCTCATCCCCCTTGTCCTCAGGGCAGCCCTTCCCATAAGTCCTAAGCCCCAAGGCAGGGCTCCTGAGCCAGTCAGCCTTGTCCCACTCACTCCCAAGTCCTCCCATCTAATTTAGCTCATTTTCAATTCAGCCCCCGTAGCAACCCCCCAACAGCAACATTTAGACCCTTTGATTCAGTCTCAGCCACCTCCAATAAGGACCAATTCAAGATCCCAACCCACTCCTCAGGGTATCAAATGAAGCCTCCATACCTAGCTCCAGCCCTCCCGCACCCCAATATGACCAGCTGAATCCCTAAACAACTCCCAACTGGTGCCAAGTCTAGTTCCCTCCAAACTAGCCCTCCAATCTGGGGTAGACCCATCCCCCACAGCTCATATCCAGCCTTTTTTTAAAAAAATATATTTTATTGATTTTTTACAGAGCGGAAGGGAGAGAGATAGAGAGTTAGAAACATCAATCAGCTGCCTCCTGCACACTCCCTTCTGGGGATGTGCCCACAACCCAGGTACATGCCCTTGACCGGAATTGAACCTGGGACCTTTCAGTCCGCAGGCCGATGCTCTATCCACTGAGCCAAACCGGTTTCGGCGATATCCAGCCTCCTTAATGAGCCCACAGGACTCCTTAAATCCGGCCATGAGGATCCAATCCGAGACCACAGTTCTCCCAAATCATGACCAGTCCTAGCCCCCTACCAAAGTCAACCCCCAATGCAAGCCACAGGGTTGCCTACTAGCTCCCCAAATGAATCTACCCTAAAAGCTAGGCTCAGACTCCCCAACATGGACTAGATAGAACCTCCCCAGACAGCTAACTCCCTAACTAACAGCAGTTCTAGTCTCCCCACTCACCAACAAAACCAGTCATTCAAAATGCAAGCACTGAGTGGGCCCCTCTCACTACCCGAGCAGGACCAATCACAAGGATGCTTTCTGAGCCCCCAAATAAGACTTGTGCCCTAAGCCCCAACCTCCCCACTCATGACAAAACCTGGCACCTGAGAATGTTTGCTCCTCCCCCTTCTCCACCTCCCCCCAGTCACAAGATCCTCCTCCTCCCTCCTGCCAAAAAAAAAAAAAAAAAAAAAAAAAAAAAAACCACCAAAAAAACATGGACTCTAGCTCAGCAGTCCCAGGAGGCAAATGCAGTCATAGCCAAGGACAAATCCCCAACTGGCCAAACCCCACTCCTCGTCCCCAGAGCATATGCTCCCCAGGGGTCCTGGACAGCCTCAGACACACACACACACTAGAGCCAAGGCAAAGGCGGAAACCCCTGACTCAATTCATCGGTTCCCACACAAGGTAAGAGTTTGCCAATGGAGGCACAGATCGCAGTGAGGACAGCCTCTGAAGGATATGGTACTCTGTCATCAAGGTAAAGCAACCAAAAGTGATTGACCCCATCACCAAGGGCAAAGACAGTCCCCAACAACCTGGGGAAAGCCCCACAAACCAGAGCCTCTCAAAGCCAGAGCAAGTCCAAGACCCTCATCGTCCAAGGCAGACCCCCGCAAATGTGATTTGCCCCATCATCTAAGGCTAATACAGATCCCGAAAGATCCTAGGGAAAAAAAACCCAAAAGGGTGAGTCTCCCAACCTCAGGAAAAATCTCCGATTCCCCATTACCCAAAGGAGAGCACCTTAGAGAGGTTGAGACCTCCCTAACCCCCAGGACAAGTCCACACTACCCCAAGAGTATCCTTAAAAGTCCCCCCGTTTCTGCCTCAGTCCCTTGGGACCCGTTCTCTCAGTCCCGCCCGCAGCAGCACCGCGGACAGCTCCTGGCGTCCCTGTACCTCCGCAGGGTTAGGGTCCTGGCATCC